GTTGGCCTGCAGTGACGTCTCCCCAGAGGCCGTCATCTCTGCACCAGCCCTTGCTTGAAGCAAGGACTTTTCACGCGTCTCCAAGGCTGAATTTTTCACTCTCGCTGGGGCCAAGAGGGCAGCTTTCCCTGGCCCCCCCCCCAGCCCAGCCCGGAGCACGCCGCCGACACCGCCTGTAACACCGGGAACGCGGGGGCCCTCGTGCAGCCGGGGGCTGCCGAGCAAAGCAGACGCGGTGCTGGTGCAGGGACAGTCCAGCAAGCTCATTCAACACAAGCAGGTGGGACTCCATACCTTGTCCTTTGTAATGTAAGCCAGATAGTGTTTCTGGGGGTCCATCGGGTTTGTCATCGGGAGTATTTGCATCTTCTCCAGAGGGGAACCATAGGTTGGTCCCAAAAGGGTCTTTCTAAAAGGCAAACAGCATCATTTTCCCCTCTGAACTGTTGTTGAGCATGAGAATGGGTGGCCGCAGGGAGGTATGGTGAGCACAAAGGCTGTAGCACTGGCTGACAGGCCAGGCCAGGCCCCATGTCTGGAAGGGCCCACGCCAGGGCTTGGGGAGGAATTTAGTGCTCAAGGATGACTCAGTCCTTGGGTTCTGCTGATCCTGTGGGCTCCTGTCCCTTTATCTTACGTCCAAATGCTACGTCTCTAGTCCAGTGTCCTGGTCAGCCTGAGGCCCACTCGCAGCCACGAGAACCTTCCTAGACTGACACGTTGGTAAACAGCATGGCAGGGACAAGGATGGAGCACCCCAGAGCACCAGTGTCGCTGGTTGGCAAACACATGCTCATGAACGGGAGCAGGGCAGGCGTTAGGCAGAGGAAAACCCAAACCCAGCATGGGGCTCGCAGGCAGAAGGTGAGGGGATCTGGGACCGCGAGGGCTGAACCTCTGCTCTACCTGCACATTTTGGTCGTGGTATTGTAGAGCTTCATCTTGTAGCAGCTATTGGCAGTGAGGATGAAGGACTCTGTGCTGAGCTGCGGGTACCAGGCCAAGCACAGGGGCACAGCTGCCTGCTCTACCCTGTCCCGGTGCAAGACCACCAGGTGGTCCTTGCTGCTGCTATTTAGGTCATATTCAACCTGGAGGGAAGACAAGGAAACACAGTGACTCCCCCAGGCTCCGCCAGCACATGGGACCCCTGTGGATTAACTGGATCTAGTGCCTGTCGCCGGAGCTGGGGTGAGCAGCCCCGGGCACAGAGACTCAGCCTTGAGCCCTGGCAGAGCAGCCCTGAGGCCAGGCTGAGAAAAGAAACAGCCCCTGCGACAGAGCTGGTGGGGGATAAGGAGCTGGAGAGCCAGAGACTGAGTCTCCTTCAATGTTCTTGTGAAGCCCCCTGCTTTAACCACCAAACTCCACTGCCTTGCAGACTTGCCCATCGACTCACCAGCTGCCTGTCCTCCCCAAGGCTTAAGAGCCTGGGCTCATCGCTGTCTAGCTGCACCCCAAAGAGGATGCTCCGGATGGGCTTGTAGTGGGAGTACAGCCCTGCCAGATGTTCCCAGCACCTCTGCCCGTTTCGCAGGACTCTTCTGTAAACAGTCACCGAGCATTTCTCGTCCTGGAACGACAGAGGTCAACAAGCTGCCATCCCAGTGTGTCCCCTGGCTGGCAGCAGGCGGCTTTGCATGTCCCTCCTGGCTTTGCTCAGCCCTTGCAGCTACGCAAGTCCCACCAGGAGGGCTGCAGTCACAACCAGGGTAAAACACTGCGTCTGGCAGATAGACCCCAAAGGGCAGCGGTGCCGCCGAGGGAGCAGCTCCCCACGGAGCACGAGCCGGCAGGAAACCCCTCTTCTAGCTGCTTCCACAGATGGATGAAGAGCTAAAGCTTGTCACTAAAGTTAGCGATGGGACTCTGCCAGCGGCAGTTCAGTGGAGCCACTGGGGCTGGTGACGTTTTTACAGAATGACTCTTCAAGCCAGGAAAAGCATTTCGGAGTTGCAGAGCCCCTGGGGAGGGACAGCCCTCCCCGCTGCTTGCTCAGCGCTACATCACAGGATGGCTGGCAATTCCCAGTCCCACCAAAAGGTGCACCACGAGTGACACACATAAATCACAAAGAGGAAAAAACAAGCTTACAGCGGTGGCAAGGTATTCAGAATCATGCGAGAAGCTAATATGAGTCACGGGGCCTCGCGAGAACTTGAACTCTTTGCAGCTGGACTGGAGGGAAATAGCATCGAGGATGTAAACGCTTCCATCAGTAAAACCAGCCGCCAGGAGAGAACCTGAGAAGCACACCAGAAGAAAATCACAACACAACCATTCATCCCGGGAGGGCCGGCGCTTGGCATGCAGGGCAATCACGAGCCCAGAGTACCTTCAGGGTTGTAGGACAGGCACTGGATGCTGGCCTCAACGAATATCCTGCTAACAAGGTACTTAGTCTGCTGGTAGTCCCACACCTTCAGCAGCCCGCAGTGACTCCCTACAGCAATGAGCACTTGGCTGGGGTGACACGCGATGGCGTTCACAGCTCTCTTGGCCTCCTCCATGACTTTTTCATATTTTGTCCCATCTGTTGCAACATGGAGCACTGTTGCATCAGAGGTTGAAAGGATAAAGTTCCTGTTTAGTGCGAGAGAAACAGAATTTGATGAGTCAGACTAGGTGGCTCATCTCCCTCCAAGATATACAATACATTATTCTCCTGGAACTTAGCTGGACGATCGCTTCTGTTTTGTGATATGCAAACATTTCCCGACCAGGAAGGCAGGTGGCACTTTGTGTTCACGACCTGGTAAATCTCCACTTGAAGAAACTGGAGGTGGTTACGTTTTCTACTTGGGTAGACAAGTCAGAAGACGAATGACATCTGGGTAGGTTTTGCCATTTGCAAGTCACTGGTGTGTGAGATGGATAAATGAGCAATTGAGGATACTCTGAATAGTCCTTTCACATGTCTCCATGCCACCATTGTTAGTGGCCGCATGTTGACTGTGCTGCAACGGACAGGGTCAGAGGAGAGCTTTAGACCCGCGCTGCAGACAGAGCAGCTGTCTGTCCGCTCACTCAGCCATGCCGGCTGTAACGCCGCTAAGACAGTCCCGCTGCAGAGCTGGTGATGTGTAACGCGGACACATCTGAATAATTATGCACGTTACAGAACAAATACGTATAGTCACCAGTCAGCCTGAGGACTCAAAGTCTGGGCCCAGGTCAAGGGTCGGGAGAGGACCGCACAGAGACCCAAATACAAGAGCTGCCCAGCCAGATGTGCACGGCCGCTGGCGGGCAGTGCTGATGGGGAAATTGCCGCCGCTTTTGCATACCCGCCCCAAAAAGCGCTTCCTGAGCTGGATCCTCACCCCGGGCTTGGGTCCTGCTCCCTCAGCTCGGTCCGAGGGGTACCGGCAACCCATGAAACACTCACGGGGTCTGCAGGGCTTCCAGGAGAGCCCTAGGACTTCTAACGCGCAGGGACAGGAGCGTTTGAAAGAGCTGTTTCAGAGGCAGCCCCTGGGAGCCTGCTGGGCGCAGGCACGTGTCCGTGCTAGCCGGGGTTCCCGCGTTTCTGCCCGGCCAAGGGAGGACGCTGCAGCTCCCGGGCGGGCAGCGAGGCTGCAGCGGTCCCTTCGCGGAGCTGTCCCGGCGGGACGAGCAGCCTCTCGCCTTCCCCCTTGCTTTTCCACCCACTTTACTTCCCAGAG